TAAGGGTTATTGTTCTATCTTATCTACAGAAGGAAAGTGATTGGCAAAGAGAGAAAGATATCTATCTGCAGGTTTTACTGCTTTGAGTCATGTAAATTATTGCATGCTTCAGTTATTAACAAAGACGCAAAACACTAATACATATTATTTTCAGTGACTAAAGTTTTACATAGTTCGCGTATAAATTTAGGAGATAACAACATAACTAAGGAAATATTTGGTAGAAGGATTCGTTCCCTGATTCGAATCATGATTCATGGTTCGTTACAGTATTTTTTCTCACAAAAAATTCACGTAAATTAAAAATGATTCGAATCACGTGATTTAAATCATCCAACCAAACGTCCTCTAAGTTTCTTAAAATATCTAGCTTATTGCCATTTGCTGTACTTTTGACAGGTAATAATATTTGAGAAAAGGTTAGTTTATGACGTTTAATAGTAGTGTTTATAGCTTGTTCATGCACTCTGCAAGACGTTGATCAGTGTGCACTGACAGTAGTACAAACGACAAGTCGTTTTTTTAGTATTTTATAAATACAAATGTAAAACTTTAAGGCAGCCACATGATTAAGCTAAGAAAAAAGGAAAACCATTAATCAATAGGGAAAGGATATCTATAAGATTCCTTTTGTATTTTGTCTATTTATTTATCGATTATGATTTTTTTTTTTTTAGTATTATCGATTATGATTATTATCATTGTTATTACTATTCCAACTACAACTAATACTACTACTATTTTTGCAGAAAATTAACATTTAAAAAAAAAAAAACAGGTAGAGAAAGAAAACCATCAACAAAGAAACGGAAATATATGATATTTCCATCGTACGTAGTTAGTGTTTATTTGTGTTATGTAATTATATGTTATGTCCGATACTATCTTCTCTAAGAAAAATGATTGAAGAGGAAACCAGGAAGCTAATTTAACACTATATTTTCGTCTATATTCATACAAATATATTCATATAAGCTAATTTAAAAAAATGATATCAGTATTCAATATTTCAAATCTACCAAAATCTTTTTAGCTCATGTCATTAAAATACAAATAATATCATTATAAATAGGATCAAAAGCAATATCAGTGCTCTTGTTTATGATAAACAGTTGTTCTAGCCCATGTAATTAAAATACAAGCAACGTCATTATCAAAACGACCAAAACACTGCAAGTACTCACATATCTAACAATGGATTGTTATAGCCCATGTCATTAATATACAATCAATTTCATTATAAAATTGATCAAAAACTATATATGTAAAATCAACAAAGGAATATATACAAATAGCTATAGATATAACAAATAGCCATAGATATAGCCATAGATATAATTACAATGCAGTTGATTTAATTACACCAGTGGGCTCTTTTAATTAATGAAGGTTCATCTATTTTGTTTAATGGCAAACTGCATTATATTATTATAATACATGCTCATTAGAATAATTGTACTACTCATTAACTCTATCTTGAAATTTTATGAAGTTCTGTGGTGAATTTTATTATGATTATGTGTTTTATGATTTTCTCGTGAAAATTTGGGGATTTAAATAAACTCACGTGTCACCTGACGAAATTATCGTCCGAGGGCAAATTTTTCCTGAAAACATGAATTGGAGCAACACTTAGTGAATTAAATTCCAGATGATTTCTAATATCTGATTCTTAATTGGAGCATTGAAATTAATCAAGTGTGGAGTTTTTATAAAGATTCTATTTCAGAGCCAAATTTGTAATTTCGATAAAATACAGAATCAGAAACGTAATTTTTTTTAAAAAAAAATATAAGACCCAAAACACAATTATAAAAATGTGTGGGTTAAAACAAAAAAGAAGGTAGGATACTTTTATTGGTTGATTGAGAGTCACCATAACTTCATTAAAAAAAAGGAAAAAAGAAAGAAAAAGTTAAGATAGAAGCTAAGTGATCGGAAAAACGGATCGAAGTGAATGTGCATATTTGATAAGAACAAAAGTACGAAAGGAATAAGATACGGAGATATATTTGATTATATTCTCCATTGATATGTGAATAATCTTTTGAACTGCAAATATTATATGGTTTCTTTAAGTGGAAAAGGAATCCCAGCTAATATTTATTTTATTTTATTTTATTTTATTTTTAATGGGAATGATCCTATCTAATAGTCGACACTAACCATTTCTTGTAATTGGTAAGCTGATTGAAACGTCATCTTGGTGACTTAATAGGCCATGCGTAATAACTGATGAAAATGAGTATGCGTTTCCCTTAGGCTTAAGCTTCGAATTACATGTGGACTCTTCCTTTCCTTTGGATTCCTGTCCCTACACACTCAGGCAGTGGGAAATTACCTGAAAGCTGTAGTTATAAAGAAAGACTTTTTTTGCGTTTTTGAACCGTTTTTTAAAACGGTTTTCATGTATTTCGAGAAGTATAAAATGAAAATAAAAACAAAACAAAACAGCGTTTGTTTAGCAAATGTTTTAAAAATGAAAACGAAAATAAAAACAATGACAAATACAGAATCAGAAACGTAATTTTTTATAAAAAAAAAATATAAGACCCAAAACACAATTATAAAAATGTGTGGGTTAAAACAAAAAAGAAGGTAGGATACTTTTATTGGTTGATTGAGAGTCACCATAACTTCATTAAAAAAAAGGAAAAAAGAAAGAAAAAGTTAAGATAGAAGCTAAGTGATCGGAAAAACGGATCGAAGTGAATGTGCATATTTGATAAGAACAAAAGTACGAAAGGAATAAGATACGGAGATATATTTGATTATATTCTCCATTGATATGTGAATAATCTTTTGAACTGCAAATATTATATGGTTTCTTTAAGTGGAAAAGGAATCCCAGCTAATATTTATTTTATTTTATTTTATTTTATTTTTAATGGGAATGATCCTATCTAATAGTCGACACTAACCATTTCTTGTAATTGGTAAGCTGATTGAAACGTCATCTTGGTGACTTAATAGGCCATGCGTAATAACTGATGAAAATGAGTATGCGTTTCCCTTAGGCTTAAGCTTCGAATTACATGTGGACTCTTCCTTTCTTTTGGATTCCTGTCCCTACACACTCAGGCAGTGGGAAATTACCTGAAAGCTGTAGTTATAAAGAAAGACTTTTTTTGCGTTTTTGAACCGTTTTTTAAAACGGTTTTCATGTATTTCGAGAAGTATAAAATGAAAATAAAAACAAAACAAAACAACGTTTGTTTAGCAAATGTTTTAAAAATGAAAACGAAAATAAAAACAATGAGAATGATTTTTGTGAAGAAATTAGAAAACAGTTTAAAGTTGTTTTCACTTTTTTGTTTTCATTTTTTAGTACTTATCAATAATATTATAATATATTAATTAATAAACATGATTTTACTTTTTTATTATACTCAAAGCAATCTCTTAAAAAATCAACCAAACACAATTTTAAAATCGGTCTCAGAATGATTCTCAAAACAATCTCATTTTTACTTTTTATTAAAAATAAAAAATCATTTCAAAATCAATTCGAAACGCACCCTTGTTTCGAGAGAGAAATGGGTATTTATGAATCATGTTATTGTCTTTTAGGTAAGACTTCCGAGCATCTTCAAGGAACTCTTTAAATTTTAACTAAAATAGAGTTATTTTAGCTAATAACTTTTGAATAATGCACTCCAAACTTAGATCAATATGCACTCCAAGCATATCTCGTGGGACCTCGTGTCGCTTATTTCATTTCATTCCTTTTCTTTTTTCCCTTACATCGTTGGTCTCCATTTTCAAACCACTTTCATGTTTCATTTCTTCTTTTCCGTTACTGAAAAAAAAAAAAAAGGACACAACCGATGTTGAACCTCCACAATAAATGATATAGAGCGAACCATAATTACATATAAATTTCACGACTATTATAAGCCTCACTCTCTATTAATATATAGTATTAAACACTTTTTGTGCCTTCCAAAAGAAGAAAATGCTAATTAGTTTACTGGCTAGTTTTTTTGACGAGTAATAATCATTAATTGCACGAAAACCGTCATAGCATGATATCTGAATTCTCATGAAAACAAGACTTACCTATAAGATTTTGTGAACGTTGGTTCAAAACCATAATGGTACTGATCAGCATTTTGTATTTAAGAGCTACAAACAGTTACAAAATCTTTTATTAGATTTTTAGCTTATTGCTCAAAAAGCTGAAACCAGGCTAGTCGTGACATACAAAACAATCGGGAGCAAAAAAATAACAGAAGAAAAGAAAAATAAAGACATACAAAATCTCTAGTAGTTTAGCTTTAATGCAAGAGTTGCATCCATTTTAACTCCTACAGATCAAATTCAATATAATCGATGAAGAAATTATAAAATTATAAGAAAAATCGTACATTAACTCAAACATCATCCTTTTAAATATACGGAAAAATTAGGACAATAATTAGACTACTTTACATGATACATGTACACACACATATATATATATATATATACACACACATATATATATTTTATATAATTTACACAATGAAATATGGAAAATCAACGTATGTCGATCCCAATTACGTTGATGATCATAATTATATGATGAACTCAAAATACTGCTTTTAATCGAACCGAATTCCATAGAGTCTTTGAGTATCAAATTCCACGTCGATTGGAACAAGATTTAATACCTTTGTACAGCTTGTAAAGGGTCCAAAACTCCAATGAGGAAAAAACAGAATTTTACTTTTACTACTTAGAGAGAGAAAAAGAAAAGAAAAAGAATATTATAATATAGCTACCAATTCATTGCCAGCATAACTCTGATATTACACAATGACAAAGATGGAATTACACCACATCTAAAACATCTTTCTGATCACAATAATACATTCAATAAATAACACCCTCTCCAAGTTTCTTTTAGCTAGGAATTCAATAATATCACACATATAATAATTAAGAAACGCATTTATAATAAATCAAAATTTGTAGCACAAATAGACAAATATATATTTTTTTTATGATGAGAAAATGATAGGCTTGATATAATTAATATAAGAAGATAAAGCCTTATTAAATATATTACTAATAAGGCTGGTCAATAAGGATGAGCATGCGCCTCATTCCCGGGAGCAAGGAACACTATAATCCGTGATCAAGAGCGACCCTTTGAATTGTTCCGCTGCTTCTCTGCTATTCATAACATGTTTATGACCTCCAGTGGCCGGAGATTTCTTCTGATCATGATCATGATGATCTACAAATTGAACTTGATTATTATGATGGTGATCAGCTATTTGCTTCTGATCATGATCGGCATGATCATCTCCCAGCCGGCCTGATGTGTTGACCTTACCCGGTTTTCGAGGCTCATCGACGGAGGAAGGAGCCGGCTTCTCAGCCGAAATTACCTCATCAGGAGGACTGTCAGGAGAAGGACGACGGATAAATACCTGGCCGTCGTTACGAGGAGAACTGGGGAAACAATTGAAACATCTCTTAATTATATTTCCCATATTGTTTAATTATCAGTGGACAAAGCACGACATACCAAAATCTGCTTTTTGTAGAAGAAATTGCAGCTGTACTAGATACGCTCCCATACCCTTACAATTAATATAATATTGCTTAGTTAGAGGAATAATTTCCTGCTTAATTCACACGCTTTTAATTTCCTCAAATTAAAGACATGAATTTTTAAAATTAATTCTCTTAGTGGTAAATATAGTACCCTATATATGCAGAGACACGTGGATGTTCATGAAGCCTTCCTTTCCTTGCTTTTCGTCATCGAAGAATAAAAGAGGAGTAAAATGTAGTGTTTTGTTCCATTTTATATCGAAGCCAGTATTGTTTGCGGAATATATTTAGTCAAATCAATACTTAAAATAATGGGTTTGTATTTGAGTGGGCACGAATTTTGATCCTTAAAAAGACTATAAAATAATGAAAAATGTTTAGAGAAATATATCGAGTAGCATTAGTAATAAAAAGTGAGTCTTATTGGTGAATTCATCTTTTATTAATTGATAATTCTTTACCATCATAGCATTTTTTAAAGTGGCATTGTAACTCTACCAAATTAGTTGTGGTGAATTATGAGTACGTTTGGTTGGAGGATTCAAACCATATGATTCGAACCATTTTTGATTTAAGAGGACGTTTGATTGGAGGATTCAAATCATGTGATTCGAACCATTTTTTATTTACGTGTATTTTTTGTGAGAGAAAATACTGTAACGAACTACGAATCATGATTCGAATCAGGGAACGAATCCCTCTACCAAACGGCCTCTAAGTATCAATCATAGGAATCAGATCCCAGCTGGCAACAGAATTTTAAATTTTCTTTTATATGCTTGCAGAGTACGTAATAGGGACAAGAGGAAAGAGAGTAGCATCATATATTATTAGAATGGTTCCTTCCGTCCCTCTCACTGAAAAGAATCAATGATCACACTACAGTAGTGACTTGTGACGTTAAATAAGGATAAGAACATGAGGGAAACGATCTTAACAATTGATTGGCTTGTGCGTATTATTTTTAAAATAAATAAAGAGAGGATAACTAATATTAGTTTTTTTTTACTTTTTTTTTTATCGTTGTGCATATTATAAATTTAATTATATATGTCCAAATGACATTTATATTATCTAAATTTTTTATGGTGGAATCTCAAAAAGTGTTCCACTAATGGAGCACTGTTTTTTTAACTGTTGGATTAAATTTTTAATGATTAGATCTGTGCAGGTCCGTATTAAAACTTTACAGCGCACTGCACATAACTGTTCTTACTGTAGATCTGACCGTTGAAAAAATAATCTAACGATGAAAAAACGGTGCTCCACTGATGGAGCACTTATTGGGGTTTCACCAAGAATTCCATATTATCTTGTGTGAATTTGAAGGACGTTTATAAATTTATTCTTTCCTACCCTTTAAGAAGAACACGATATTACGTTTATTGGCTAAAAAGGCCTATAACATATATGTATATATATGCTGTCTTAAAAAGTTTGTGTACATTGTTGTAAATATCTTAGCGGCGTACAAATAAATAATCATGATCCGTTGATTTGAGCAACATGCAATATATAACGTCGCATATATCGTTTGCGCATTTCTTTTACCTGATCAGGAATAAAAACACACAAATATATTTTTACAAACTAGCATACAATTTTTTGACACGGTACATATACATGTGCTTCCCATCGTTTTCTAGACAGAAAAAACACAATAACATTAAGAACTATACACCAAGATAATTGTAGTGCTGCTCAAATGATCTGGTATATCTTTTGCTTTGCTTAATTTCTTGGGATAAGGCTTGGTCCTGGCCAACCCCACTATTTATAGAAGAGTAAATTGCACTATTATATACGAAGCATTTTAGTTTTTACATAATCCACCCAAGCTTATAATTTTAATAGATTAGTATCCTGAGCTTTAAAATCAGTAAAAATTGATCAGGTTCAATAATTAATGACCATTATTAAATTGACAGTTTGAGATACAAAACATGAATGACAACTCATTCTTTTTTAAAATAGTTCACGTGTAAATCTCGTATTTTAAACTGTTAATTATTGAACTTCAAAATTAAAAGTTTTAGTTATATTACGTTAAAACAAAAAATAAAAAGAAAATTAGAGTACAACAATAATGCAATTTGCTGTTTTATAGAATTCCCATAAAGCTTCTAGTGCTTAATTTTGTGGGTTCCCGGCCCCAAGAAGAATTTGCGGTTCTTTGTCCCTATCCACTGAACAGTACTTTTGATTTCCGCCCTTCATTGAAGCTTGGTGGTATAATTAACAAAGGACTCTCAGAATCTATATATATATATATATAT